GTCTTATATCTCCACTCGACAAATCTAAGCGCCTCTCTCGATAGGTTATTGAGTTACGTGACACGAAGATCACACAACTTGAGCGACTGACTCGCCGTCTCCGAGTGTGACAATAGTGCCGAAATTAATTTTCATATTTGCCGAAATTATTGTCGAAATTTTTTGAACTCTTTTCATCAAAATACATCATATAGTATAGTTATTTCGGAGGGTTTCATATAAAAAATTTAGCAATGCCGAAATGTTTGCCGAAAATACTTTTTTTCAAAAATAATTTAGGCACACATGTATACCATAAGTTACCAGCTATATTTTATTCCGAAAGTCTCCGTTTCTTATGTTCGTTAATTATCTACTATACCGAAAATTTCCGATAATGGCAGCGCTTTTCAAGCAGGCATTTGGTAACTTACTACCAAAATTCATGGTAACTTACCGCGGTAACTTACCACGGTAAGTTGCCACTAGCAACTCTGCTTGATCTATTATTAGTGCTACCGATATTTCTTTTTTTGTATTACATATTGGATTTATAGTTGTTAGGCGAAACCCAGAGGTTTCGACAAAAAATTTTTAAAATGGCGAAATGGCGAAAGGTGACGAAACTGGCGAAAGGTGGTGAAACTGGCGAAAGGTGACGAAACTAATGAAAGGTGGCGAAACTGGCAAATGGTAGATTTAATAATTCGACCAAACCGGCCTGCATTAGCATAATGCAGGCCAAAATTTCATGCATATGATACCGAATTACTGTTAAGATAAATTTTGGCCAACTTTAAGGACTCTAAAAAGTTCTAAGGTAGACCATGAATAAATATAAAAAATGAAGAAAGGTTAAGCAAAATTTTAAAGAGAATAAGCCGAAAGATCTCGGTTTAGCCAAATAAAATTTTTATTCTTTGCGGTAACTTCGATAATTTACCAGTATTTTGGGTAAACAACGAAAAAATTATAAATTACAGTAATCCTACAACCCTGTGCACAGTGTTGTCATGTCCAATGGTCCAACGGTTTTATTTGGACATTGGATGTCCAATATCTAATGATGTTGGACGAGTATTGGACGCCCAACGTCCAATTGATTAGACCTAATGTCCAATCCAAAGGTCTAATTTTGTCCAATATACATCACTAATGCACATGAAATTTGAAAATTTTACCCAGCATAGCGGGCTTTCATTTTGATTGGCTGACTTTTGCAGATCATTTCGTGACATTGCAAAATATGATTGGTTAATCGATGATCAAAGATCGTTTAAGACGAAGATATTTTATGAAGCTAAATCGTAACAAAATATTTTATATAAGACTAAATTGGCCTTAATAAAACATTATTACGGAATCTCACAATTAAGAGTCTAAGACAATAAGCCTAGTACAACAAGATCTCATAAATCAAGTTTTATTAAATACATGAATTAAAAAAAAATAAATAAATAAAAATAAATAAAAAAAAACTATGACAAAAAACACCAAAAAACTAGTAAAATCTTATAAATCAATATTAATCGAAATACTAATTTTATTGGCGTCAAACTATTTGACCCTAATAACCTTAATCAATAATAAATAATAAACGTGACAACACATTTTAATCTCGAAATTTACAAACTTATACTTCATTACTTCACGTTGCTAGGCTTGTTACTAAGCTAGTTCACTAAACTATTTTACTGGCGGTTCCTGTCTTGAAACTTTAAATAAATTATAATAAAATAAATTAGCGAAAATAACTTTCAGAACAAATTACTAAACTTAATAGATTTGTATGTTATATTTATGACTTATTAGCTAAATTGAAACGTTCAGACATACCTCTCATCTAACTTCCGAATTACTTCGTGGATTACCGAATTACTTTGACAGTTTATAAAGTAAGACTTGAACTTTCAAATTTTTTTTGTCTTACCCTCTCGGAATTCTTATCGGTCAAATGTAATGTCTGAAAATTTTAGGGGTAATGATTTAATTAAGGGATCTGCAAGTTGCAGCACATATGAAATTATTCGATGATCTATATGTTTTATAAAAAAGACGAACTTTCCTCCTAATCTAATATTCATATTTTACAATTTAACTAGTCTTCCTTACTTATAATAAAAACTTTTTACTCTTTCGTACTCCAATTTTATTTATTTTTTTGTACTCTTAGTCCAAAAACCTTTGAAGTATCTTTTTTTGAAAATCGTGTTTAAAATCATCGACAAAGCTAAATTGTGAATTTTGATTGGCTGCAAGACTTGATTTCCATCGATAATGAAAATAATTATTATCGTTATTGATTATTGCAAAAGTGGCAAAATGTATGAAATATATCAGTTATAAATAACACTTCATATTTACCATTACTAGAGAATAAAGATTATTTATTACCTATTGAATATTTCTAACTGTTTTCGACATTTTATTTCCTGAAGACAGGAAACGAGAAATTATTAAATTAGGCTGCGGATATTTGAGTTTTACTGATATTTAATAGTTTATGAACAAACCGCCAAGAATTACCAATATAATTAAATAGATTCACTATTAGTAGAGTCTTCTCATATATTTTATTTTCCACATGAAAAGAAATTATTTGATATAGGCCAAATTTTTCTAACCTACTTAAAAATCTATCTTGGATTCGCTTTAAGACCTGTCCAACTCATGGTTACTTCATTTGTTCTACATGATTCCGATTCAGAAAAATAAATGTAATTGTAAAAAGCGTAGGCCTGTATTAGTTTCTCAATAGAAATTGAATCAGATGGAGTAAATTTCATGAATAACAGCAAAACAAATATCTCTTACAAGTGTTTTTCATTACTCATTCACACAATAATACTTATATTTTGTCATGAACACAACTCAAATTAGACCTACACTCTTAGTGAAGATTTATAACCATGATTTATCTATTACCTTAATATCTGTCTAAATTTGTCCCAGTGCTTTAAAGTTATATTTGACTATACAAACACCCGTTATATTTATCTGGAGCACTTTATTAATCACTTAATAATAGTTCGAATAGAGTAATTTTAAACAGAATTAGCAAATGACAATTGAATAAATTCGAATTTACAACTTTTAAAAAACCAAATATTCGAATTTAAATCTAACCAATTACAAATTGGAAACAATTCAAAAAAAAAACACATACCAATAAATAGGAACACTATTAGGAACGCTAATGTGTTAACAGTATTACAGGATTCTATAGGTTTTCAACAATAACATGCTATGTAGAAGATTTATTTTTTTAAAAAAATTTTGTAGGTATCATTAGCCTTTTTTGAAAGTTCAATGGCCATGATGACAATATATTGCATGCGTAATACAATGTAAGCAGTATAAAGAAATTTAAAGTATTAAACCCAATAGTTTTAATTGTAATTAAAATTTAAAATCGTTAAATTTAATTGTAATTAATAGTTTAATCAATATTACAAGAATTTAAAAAAATTTTTTCTATCTCTTTTGACCGATTATTTCACTAATAAATTTTGACACGTGATTCTGTCCATTCAGTAGACTCAGTTTGAAGTTGAGAAAGAATTTTGGGAAGTTTATCGTTAGGAAAAACTTCATCAGAAAGAATATTTTCGAGTATTTTTTTTTCTTTTTCGGTGGTTTGACACTTATGACGTAGTGGTTTTACGGTATTTTGTTTATTATCAACACGGATTTTAGGAGGTTGCTTGGTTTTAGATTGTTGCTTAGTTTTAGAACTGTTCATTACCTGTAAATTTTGCTATTTGTATGATATTATATTATGAGCCCGACGACCTTTCACATTTCGAATTTCGGTTTTATGCACATCCTATTTTAAAATCATATTAAGGTGATTAATACCCAAATCATAACATGAAAATAGACGCTGAAAACCAGCTTCATTAATTTCTTTAGCATGTAAAAAAAGTTCATGTGAAGATGAATCAGGCTGTGAAAATGCATCTACTAAATCGGATATAAGTTTCCAGAGAGAATCTTTTCTAGATTTTATAGTTCTTTCCTCTTTAATGTAAAGCTTATCACTAACATATTCAGAAATTAGTAACTCTAATCTTTCTCTTTCTGCTTGAATAAATGATACTTGCAATTTCAGTTCCTCATTTGTTAGTCACTTGTTACTAATGTTTTGTTTAATAAATTGTACACCAAACCTTTCCAATGCCTCATCAAACCCAAAAAAATGATCTTCACATGTAATGTTTACTGAACATACTAGTCTAAGTAGTCTTTGAAACTCAATATCTTGCTCAACATAAGATAGAAAATAAGTAACAGATCTTGCATAATTACTTTTTCCTGCCACAGGAAAAAGAGGCAGAAAAGCAGCAAGATTTCTAAATTGCATATCGAAATTGCTTTTTCTAATTTCAACTTTATGACCTAACCAATAGGCTCCCTAACAGAAATAATAATACCATACCTTAATCATTTTATTAGTCCCATATTTAATATCTTGCTAGAGTACTTTAATAATAAATACAAAGATGCAGTATTTATATTCAATTTATGTATATATACGAATTTAGTTATAACAAAAACTATCAACAGAAAGATTGATTGCTTTATTGAAGAACAGAAATACTCTGCTTATATACTTTTAAATACATTATGAATATGTTACATATTTTTTAAAAAAATTTATATTTTTTTATGAGATAAAATTTAATCAGCAGTAAACTGAATGAAAAGTCATTAATTCTCTTATCGTAACTTTGATTTTTTTAATTTTCACTAGAAAATTTACAGGAACTCATAAAAGTTTTTTTTTTATTCTAAGAAACAGCTAAACTTACTTTAATGCAATACAATAAATCTATGTGCTTGCTTTAATGAGCTAATCAATTATTAATCAATATATTTATTTTTGACTTTAACTGATTTTAATTAAAGTAACTCAGTCATATCATAGTTTAACAATATAGTTAAATAAATAATAAGGTACCTCATAAGAAATAATACTATTTAACTTTTACAATAGTTTGAAATACTCTTTCCTTAAAACTATGGAAAAACAAGAAATTATCAATCTAATAATTAAATTGCTTTGGATTGCTAAAAAGGGAAATATTTTTTCTTTAACATTTAATGGAAATTCTGTGATAATTTTTGATCAAGTTGGTTTAACTGCTGTGGATCTGAACATGATTATTAATAGAGAAAATTATACAAATATAATGAATATACTTTATTCTGCATCTTGTTTTTTTCTTAATAATAATGATACATTGAATGATAATAATGAAATTTCTAAATTTTAATAAGCAAACACCATATAATGTTGGTGACTAAGCTTGTATTAGAAATAATTTTACTCAATGTGCTCAAAAAGATACATGGTCAATTGAACTATATGGAAATAGTTTAGTATATGTTGTACTTCCTCTTGTATTAAAAAATAATACTTCTATCACATGAGTAAGTTCAATAATAAAATTTGTTATAAACAAGTAATTTTTGTTATTATATTAACATTAATAATAATTATATATATACATATAAATAGATACAATAGATGATCAAAAATTTAGAATTCAGAAGCCATATAATGCTGCTAAGGGTTATTAAAAACTTTATGTAGTATATCTTTGATAGATATTTTTATATAATAATTTTTGTTTTACTTTTTATTTTTATCAAATTGAAACTATAATTAGCTTAATATCCAATTAAATATTTTATAATTATTTCTTTTTTCTTAAATTCTTATAGATTAGATTAGAAAAATAGTAACTTGAGCTAAATCTTTATAATTGTTTAAAGTTTCTTCTTTTACTTAGCAAAAAACTAATTTTCTTAAATATTATATATGTTTTTATGTTTCTGATAAAGATACTCTGTTTAGCAAATTAAAAATGTATTCATATTCTAATTGCAATAAATTAATTTAATATTAAGTTTTTGAGATATTAATTTTTATGTAAAAGTTATAGGAGTATATTAACAGACATTATAAATTAATTTAATCCAAAAATTTAATAAAAAAATATATCATTTAAATTTTTTAAATTAATAAAGTTCATAATCTAATAGGCAGAATTTTTGGTGATTTAAAATCTCTTTTTTTTTTTTTTTTTTTTGTTATTAAGGCGGTTTACATTGCCGATGGAATTTTATTAGAATTGCATATGGGATATACATTGATAGTCCCTACTGTTTGTAATTACATGAAGAGTGTACAACAAGCCACATGTACAACTTTAGTCA